ATCAATCTCTGCAAATCTTCCTTGTTGTTGGCCATTAGCACTATACCATCTGCGTACATTAATGCTGGTAGTGCCTGATCAATAAGATGGAGTTATGAAGATGTAAGATGAAGTTACCCCGCCATGGTGGTCTAGTGGCTAAGGTACTCGGATACTGACCAGCAGTTCGCGGGATCAAATCCCGGCTGCGGCAGCTGCATTTTCGATGCAGGCGAAAATGCTGTAGGCCCGTGTATACTCAGATTTCAGTGCACGTTAAAAAGCCCCCGGTAGTCGAAATTTCCGGAGCCCTCCACTACGACATCTCTCATAATCATATGGTGGTTTCGGGACGTTCAACGCCACATATCAATCAATAAATTAAGATGAAGCTGTTACCCTGCCGCCATTGAAAAAAATGGTTGCACAATCTGTTTTAGATTGAGACACGCAATACCAATAAAAAGCAATAGACAAGGCTAACTGCCAATCTATGTTGTGAAACATTCCTGCGCATAAAAATTATCTTGTCATCATGTGAGTAAACAATGCTATAAGCAGCTACAACAGCCGCAGGTTCACTGCAATCAATTATTACTATTGGTGTCGGCAGAATTTTGTGTTTTCTTGATTTTTTGGAGGGTTGGTGGTATAAGTTTTGTTTTCATCCCCTGCCCACTGCCATGCTAGTCTGCACTCATGCAATGCACTGCAGTAGTTTTCAAAAGGGATGACTGATGTTAATTATTCATTTGATTCAAGCATTGTTGGAATTCAAATGATCAAATGCTAACATCCACCGAAGAGGGCCCAACAGTTGGACATCGCAGATAAATCAGCGGCATGAGGAAGAAGTATGAATCACCAGTTCGTTGAATTTTACTATAATTGATTTCTCTGAAGTCTTAGCGCAATGGGCTTGCAAATTGATGTATGCCTTCCAGCTGATTCAGTTACTACCTTAAACACGTGAGAGGCTGAAGTGGTTCAGAAGCCTTGAAGTTATGTGAAACATAATAAGGCTTCATGACATTCTAGATTCAAGGTGATTGTCTCTAAGCATGAACCAAAGACGGCTATACACAATCTACCGGGAGAATGCCAACATTGAAATGACTCAATGAGTCATGGGTATCCTGATAGACGAAGGCCTTTCGTAAAATCCCCATTGTGCATGTCTAAGAATGGGAAAGAAATAGAGTTGTCGGTTGCTCATCAGGGTGTTGGAGCTAAAGCTACCAAGTAATAAAAATTATACATGAGCACTCTGCGTCCCCAATCAGTGCAGTATGAATCATATAAAGCACGTCAGAATATTTTTTTGAACCAACAAGCGTGATAATTACTAGAAATTGCTTATTGAACTTTAAAAAATAGTGACTCCAGAGAAAAATATTTAACACAATACTTGTAGCGCTTATCTAGAAATACTAAAATTTTAAATCTGTGGTAAGATAACTGCACTACTTCATCATTTTCCCAGCCTTCGTTAAAAGTGCACGAAATTTAAAAAAGAAAACACATGACTGCCGCCTAACAAGCAGTGCTTTTAGTGCCCTTTAATTTAGGTTCAAGGATTTATGAAAGACTGCTCAACACGTAGGTCAGTTTAAGAGACTATCGGTGACTACGATGGACGTGAAGTGATGGTAGGATGACAACGATAAAAGAAAAAAAAAACTTCGATGAAAGGGCAGCCTCCACGTGCAAGTATGATACGAGGCTGCAGGAAGCATTTGAAGCAATGCCGGTATTTTTTTCTTTTGTTTTCGGGCTAACGATAAACATGTCACCCTCTCCCCCTCCATCATGCTTATCGTTAGCCCGAAACGAAAAAAAAAAATACTGGCACTGCGTTGAGTTCTCAATCTGGTCTCATATCACATTCGCACATGGCGGCTGCCTTTTCATTGAAGTTCGTTTTTTCTTGTTTTTAACGGTAGCATCCTACCATCCCCTAACGTACGCCCATCGTAGCCACCGATAGCCTGTTCAAGCAATTTTGGTGCCTGAGCAGTCTCTGATAATTCTTTGAAGTAGTATTTTAGGGCAAAACGCCGCACGTTAGCAACAATGACGTGGTATTTTTAAAGATGATAGTCTTTCTTGGGGACCTTCGACGCTAAAAGTTTCGTCTGTCTGTCTGTACTTTTGTCTGTTTGTCCATCCTTAACGGTAGCCTAAACGGCACCAAAGTGGCCAAACGATACTCCAAACGGCCGACCCCATCCGCAGCGCCCATCAATACTGCTGGAGATTCAGCGTTCATACTTTTGCGATTGTCAATTAAAAAGCAATTATTGCGCATATCTGAGGCACCATAACAACACGTCAATACTATGCATGTGTATTTTTTACTAGAAAAGGCATACATAAGCAATTTTAAGGATCGTAGCCTTTAAAACACTGCGCTGGCCATGCAACGCTTGCATGAAACGGCAATTGTTTCCAATGCTTTGCAAAGACGACACGGTGGTATCACCTACCAGTCTCCTTGCGTTCTACACCTTATCACCTTTGAGACGGGCGCGCATGGCACGCGCCCCGTTTTACAGGATAACTGCCAGATAGCGCTCATCTCTCACGTGTGACGTGACTTGATGAGCTCGTTCGCCTCCGCTGTACGCGCTAGGCACTTGAACGCAGTGCTTCCAGAATACCATTCACCGATTTTCTTGCGCAGAACATCAAATAAACGTTTAGTTCACTCTCTCCAGACGCAAGACTATCCTCTTTCGACGACATTTGTGGTGTAACATGCAGATACGGGGCTTTTTTTTTTAAATTTTGCACTCTTTATAAAAGGCCACAAAAATTAAGCAGTGCCGTTATATTACTGCAGATGAAAAAAAAATGTTATTTCTGGATATGCACTAGGAGTATAGTATTCAAAATTTTTCTCTAGAGTCTCTGTTTATAAAGGTCATTAAGTAACTTTAGTTAATTGTCGAGTAAAGTGGATAGAATAAAAATACTCTGACGTGTTCTATGTGGTTTAGAACAATACCTCGCTCAGCGGAGACGCGTATCACTCGATTAATTTTTGATTACTTCGTGCTTTTTATCTGAAACACCCTGTATGTTGAAACTGAGGTATGTGAAAACATGAGGTGCATCAGTATGCCCAGTGCTATAGTTGTACGGAATTTGGTTCGCAGTAATATTACGTTACAGCCTGCTAGTGTTGTACAATGTATGCACGTGTGTTATTTGCTCCCATAAGGTCAGGAACTACACTACTAGCTGTAGCTACTTCAATTAGCTTCCACAACAAATGTACTTGCTAGAGATAATCAAATTCGAGCTTTTTTTTTGTCCGTACACTTTATACGGTTGTATCACACAAATAGAGGAAAGCATTGAAGGACGCTTGAGCTTTACCGTCTAGAGAAGATCACGATAGCGTAATCGGGTCTCCTACGCATCATCTTCTGAAATCCTAAACTGGCTTCGGTTGTCGGTGCATTTTAGCTGTGCCGCAAGGAAACGAATGACTATGCGCATAATATTGGCCGTTTCAAAGTATCATTGTATGCTTATTGAAAACCCAGTGTCGGAGTGCCCCACTACGCCTTATTCTTCCTTTCGCGAATCGTCGAAGGGACCACTACTGGTTCGTAAGGCAACCCTCGGACCCACGCAGCGGTTCATTTTGTTCATTTTTGTACTGCTGATGAAGATTAAATATGTCTGGGCACTTTGTAACACGTGAGTCTTATCACATCATTTGACACCCGTCGCAATTCGCAGCTTCTGCCACGCACTATATGACGCGTTAAAGAGACTCCGTCCCCTACGTGGCATTCATATAGTGTTCTTTTTTTTTTTCAAAGTGATACCAACAAATATTGTGGCTTTGTTGTAGGGCACTATGTCTGTCCAGAACACTTTTGTACGTGATCAGAAAACTTTTGGGTAGGAAAAGATCGCAAACAGCCCATATTTGTGAATATTTTACACACAAAGTCTCCCAAAATAAATGGACTAGGCAGACATGGCCTTCAAATTATGCCAAATGGTTTTCTCAAGAAATATCCTCCGGAAACAAGCTTCGTCTGGATGGTCGAAGCGGTATCGCTTTCCCACAAGACTGGGAACACCTTCGTGAAATTTCCTGGAGACTGGACAACATATGCTATGTGGAGCGCAAGGGCTGTCTCAGTCATGCAACGCACCCACTCAGTGCTTCGGCAGCCACACGTACATACGTATAAATAAAGCTTCAAAGATTGTACGTGAGTGTAAAGTGACCAAAGAAAAAGATAAATTGGTAGAACGGCCAACATAGGCGGTTTCCTTTCTCTGAGCGGGGACAGAGATGTTACTATTATTACCTTCAAAGGCGTGTCCGAAAATAGACGCCCTCAGAATGCGGGTTGTGTAGTAGAACGACCAGTTGCGGCTGTTGTCTTACGCTGCGCGTGTCGTCGTCGCCAGACGAAGGCCGGAGGAGGAGGAAGAGTAGGAGGCGGTCGCCGCCGCTTCCCGAGGGAGAGTGAAGTGTTCTCGCTTTGAATTCGTCTTGATTACTCCCCTTACGTAATCAGAAGCTGCAATCAAATGGCTTTGTGTAAGTAAATGCTACGCATTCCCCAGCCCCCCCCCCCCCCCCCCCCCCCCCCGCTGGCCCCGTACACCGTCCTCTTTCAAAGGCACTTATTCGTATTTCTACTTTTTTTCCTTCTCTTCACCGACGCAGCCAGCTGTGTCCAGCGGGGAACGGTCAAGCAAAAACCTGGCGAAAGCACATTAAATACCAACGATGCAGAAAGGCGGTGGCTTAATTGTCGTACTCGATAAAGCGACAGCTGGCTGCCTTCATCGCGCGGGAATCCAAAATACTCGTCACAGCCCGAAATGGGGCGCGGCTTCGCGAAGCGGAAACGTGCCGAAGAGAGAGCAAGTGTATGTTGGTCAAAGAAGGGAGGAATGACCACTCGGACTGAACTATTGTCTTGATGCGACGGAAGGCCAGACTGCGTCGACTATATAAGCAACTCCGGCCATTCGTTGAAACACAAGTCACTCGTCTACTGCAAAAACCTTTCAGCCCAAGCCAAGCCATGAACAGCCTGGTGAGTGGTGGAAGACTCAACGTGTAGGCATAGCGTAATCCTTAGAGACAGCCGGTGTGCCTGGCCTCGTCACTAGCAGATATTATGGTTGTCTCGAAGGGCAATTTTCCCTGCCTTCCTAAAACACACTTTGCCAAGGTTTTGGTAGAGATCGGTATGATCGCTTTGTTTTGCCCTAACTTGACTGTGCGCACGTGTAGTTTGTTGCCTTTGACGTCACGCGGTATAATGTGACACTATAGTAAATGATGAAAAGTGTGCCACAATTTTCAGCTTCCGGTGCTTGTTTTATACGTTGCCGCACCATATAGAGCTATAAATGGCGAAGTTGTTCCCTAACTTTTAGACTTCTGTGCCGTATCTTACAAAGTTCAAACATATCGCTTCGAAAGACAGGTCTCCCGTTCACGTCCGCACTGGTTATGGAAAGACTAGATGACATAGATGTAGTAACTTAACGAATAATAACTAGAGAATAATTGTTATAATTATTACAATATCGACAGAACTGGGCACTCTGTAAATGTCAGTGGTTTTACAGGGCGAGGTTGTTCCGACTAGGGGTGGTGTGGCTGCTAGTCTAGAAATTTTCGTTTGCCCGAAAAGAAGAAGCAGAGGGGAACTGTACTCGGTGTTCTTATGCTTAGTTCATTGCTATTTGACTGTACTTCAGCTAGTTGGAGTATTTAGTTAAACTTGCTCGTGAGTACAACGAACCCGCTTCATTATACAACTTGCTGCTTCTTCCTGGGATCTTTCGGTAACTCATCTGTAAGCCACCCACATGAAAATTTCTCTACTAGATATATATCAAGTGTATGCACCAGACTATTAGCTATTTCATGAGCAAATAAAAGAAAACACAAACGAAAGATTAGGGCAAACTATAATTTAGCACATATCATAGACATCCAAGGTGGTAATATTTAACGCCTTTTAAAGTTAGCTACAAAAAATAAACGCTTTAGCAGCATATTAAATTATATATATGTATTTTTCTCACCAACACTGCAGCTTATTGCCCTTTTCGTCTGCGGCTTTGCTGGAATCTGCACTGCTGGCTTTATCGAATACGGTGGCGGCTTTGGCGGCTACGGAGGATACGGGGGCGGCCTTGAATACGGAGGAGGCTTTGGACATGGACTGGGGCATGTGAAGACTGTTGCAGGGCCTTCTTTCTTAGTCAAGACCGTGCATAATGTGAACCGCGTGAGTCATGGCTCCACCCTCTACGGACGCTATGGTCACGGCGGCGGTTATGGAGGCTACAGCAGCTACGGTGGTGTCGGCGGCGGCTACGGCGGCTCTCTTGGCGGCGGCTACAGTAGCGGCTACGGAGGTGGTTACGGTGGTGGTTATGCCAAGGTGGCCGTCAAAGGATAAGATACTTTACTTGGTAGAAAATAGCGGGTATTCGTGGAAGCACTCAGACTTTTAAGGACATCTGGATACAACGCCGATGTCTGCAAGCGGCGTCAGGCCCAGTGTGAGGGCACTTAAAACCATGCGACTTATGTCCACATGCCCTTAGGAAGTCGACGCGCAAAAAAGCCAACTTCGCCCCGAGTGTCCCCAGTAAGAATGGTGGCGCGTGGTGAAAGACCCAGATGGATATATGCTGCTTGAAGCCATAATCGATTCAGTGACATCCGATAGCAATGCGCCCACTGCTTGATCAATTCACAGAGGCATCAGCTGTCATCGAGTGTGACCGATGAGAGTGGGTGCTTAGATAGAGACCATCTTAGTCTTGTGCTTGCGTCGCGTGCTCCGAATATCTTGTTTCAAGGAACAATAAAAATGACCAAACGCTCAACGTGTTGTAGTTTTGTCTTTTCACTTTCCATCCTCAACATTAGGCAATGAAACGAAATAAGAAGCAAAGAGCACAAAAACAATTGACGCAGCATTATGAGACAGAAATGCACTCAAATACTTGTTCGCATAGTACACACTTTGTGTTTATAAACACTATTCCGCTGATATACGGAAGGGACTTCAGGTAACAATGTGAAGAGGTTTGGAGGATTTAATTCGCGATAAGGACTCGATCGCTGGGGCCTTCTGTCAATGCCAGAAATAAAACACTGCAGAAGTGGTGCTCTCGCTTCTGGCATACTCTGTGAAAGTACGGAAGTGCTCAGGCTTAGGCCCCACCGCGGTTTTCTAGCGGCTAACACACTCGGCCGGTGACCCACAGGTCGCGGGACTGAATGCCGGCTGCAACGGCTACATTTTCGATGGAAGACAAAATGCTGTAGGCACGTGTGCTCAGGTTTTGGTGCATAATAAAGAACACCAGGTGACCAAAATTTTCGGAGCCCTCCAATACGGCGTTTCTCATAATCATACGGTGGTTTTGGGTTGTTAAACATAACATATTATTATGTTCAGGCATATGAAAATACAAGTACTTCTAAAGGTAAAGCTACTCCTAGAAACTGAAGAATCAGCGCGCTGATATATGTAGGGTGTTCACGACAGTGTTACTTGAGTCCCTTTTGCGGTGAAGACACCCCGTAAGTATCCACCGTCCTTAGCTAACAATATTTATTTTTCGTGTTACTTTGTCTCGTGGCATCAGGGCAACCACACAATTCAGTTCTGCTTTATAGCATATAACTCGATCATTTACCGACAATCTAACAATAAGAAGCGTACATGTTACTATTTTCGGCGAGCCCCGGCTGGCCACGCATGTTACTTCCTCTAAGGAGACACGTTAACTCTGTTTTTGATCCTACGTACGAGTCTCCGACGAGGATGTAGTGATGTCCAAAGAGCATTTTTTTAATAGAGAGTCATGTACTTCGTAAGTTAGGACTCAAACACTCACCAGAATAGGTCAAAGCCTCCTTTTGTTGCCTTAGGGTGTACCCCACATAAATGGGACGCTACAGTATTCATTTTAGCACTATACCGAAGGGCCAAATGTCTATATTTTTTATTGTGTGTTAGATGCCTTAACGCGCCGACGCCACAAATAAGCGTTTCGCCCTCTGTCAAGAATGCCATAGTAGTAGAAGCATGTGAATAATTGTAGCAGTAGAAAACCAGATTATCTTTAGGAATTCCTGCCATTGCTGCGAAGGCTACGTTTCGTGTCAGGAAGTACGTGCGTCCCAATTTGCGAGAAGGCATTGTTTACTAAATGATACCACCTTGATCTTTCCAAGCAGTAGGCGTCGCGTGAAAGGCAATCTGAGACAGAAAATGGAGCAGTATTTATCGAGGCATTCAGTACGGGTTGAGTACCCATAGCTTCTACTGCACTACACGGTGTTTCAGATGAAGTTTAATCTCAAGAGCCACTCCATCATGTTTAGAGATAAGCGGGTGCTAAAACTATTTCACCTAAACTTTATTTTTATTGGATCAAATAAGGTGGACCCTATTTGTTTACGTCTCCTATTAACGGCGTAACAATACCTTATTCTTGGTCGCAAGTTTTGCAATGGCGTTGAGTTTATTCGGAGAAGCACCCTCAGCACTCAGATACACAAGAACGTTTCTTTCTTTTTTTCTTTTTTCAATACGACTAACTCGTGCAAACGCCATTTAGGTGATTCGCGCTCACTGCGCAAGAGCCTACACTCCCTGGTTTACTTTTTTTTTCTACTTCTTACCCACAGTTGCTGTCTTGTGTTTATGATAATCTAGTTCTGACCCAAAGGTCGTGCGATGAAGTCCCGGCCACAGCAGCTGCATTTAAATGGAGGTGATATGCTAGAGGGCCTCGCACTTGTATTTAGGTGCACATTGAAGTGCACCGTATGGTCTAAATGTCCAGATACCTCCACTACAGAATCTCTCATGATCATATGATGCTATTCGGATGCAAGACTTCTACAATTATTATTCTTGTCTCTTGTTTCACATCCGCCAGCGCAGAAAAAATTGGACCAGATGTTTTTCTACTTAAGGAAACGGCACCCACTCTTTATTTTCTCCTTCTTAAGGAACTATAGTTCACTGATACGTTGTGAATTTTGTACGTGCCTTTTGTGTGCCATCATGTCTTCCTTGCTTCGTTTTTGTCATTGCTTGCATCGTTTGAACCTTTTATTTTTGCACATGTGCGATGCCCATTTAACGACAGACTAATGAACCTATATGCTAAACAAGCGCCGTGCCTAACATATCACTGACCCCTCGACGTGTTCGCCTTCACTATGTTTGTTGTTGCGTGAGCGTCTTGTAAATCAGCCAGAAGCCTATTGCGAAGCATATTGCTTTTCGCTGCTTTTAGAAGACCGGGCTGAGGTCTTCTTCACGCCATTCTGATCTTCGCGTAAAGTTTTGCAAACACAGGCACGTGATATCAGTGGTCAAGAAAGTAAAACAGAACTTGGTTAATTGTTTTACAGCAGAGCTGTTACGCTTGAAGTTGGCCGCGTGTCGCAGATAGAAATTTATCATCGCGAACCGTCACGCTCTTTCCTCTTCCCTTCACAGATTTTCCGGCGTGGGCTGCAGTAACTCTGGTGGGTCAGAGATCGAGTACAGAGAGTGAGTGGGAGAGAAAGAATGAGAAAAGGAGAAAAAGAAAGAGAAGTGAAGATGGAAGGAGAGAAATTCTCGGCGAAAACGTTCCTTCGCGAGAGCAAGCATCGCCATGTATAGTGTAGAAAAAGAAGGTTTGGAAAAGAGAGAGGTGAGAGGGTACAAGCCTAGCCAAGCCAGGACCACCTAGGTGCCGACGAGCTCTGCTGTGACTCAGCCTTGTGCGACTTAGTGCAAGCGGCGCTGACTTTTCACTTAAGACCTGTTCTGACGTCTCTGGACTGAAGTTGGCCAAATACAAATGTATAATAAAGCAAGCGCTTAACATTGAGTGTATCAGCGATAAAAAACAACATTGAAAATGGCGGTTACTGGAGAGGACGATCACTAATAATGGCAGCCTTCACAACAGAGTAGTCATGTTTTGCCCAACCGTGACTTGGCTGTTACGAAGCACACAGTTAAGAATAGCGACTTAAGTACAGAGTGCACGTGCTGTTTAACTGTGCGTATGTGCGGGTATGTGGGTTGGTGGGTAGGTAAAAAAAGTGTGTGGGTGGATGGGTGCGCGAGTTATCAATGTTTTATTAAAAATTACATTAGGAGCATCTCTGTATCAATGTGCTTGCACAAAATTTTCAAGACAAATATGTTACAACTAGACGGAATCGCAGTTTTGCATTAAGTGCGTTGCTTGTTGTCCCATATCCGGCACATGTTTATGTTGAAATGCTCAAAAGAATAGAATCGACCCAGGAGTTTGTCGCTTGGGCAGACTACACATGGCAAAAACGAATGCAGGGCAAGAAGATGATGAAACGATTGCCAAGTTAAAAAAAAAATTTAGTGCCGATCATGTGCTATAGCTTAAACTGCACAAAATAACGAAAGGAACAGGTTGCTGAATGCTTTGTTGAAACTTAGCGCTCATCCTGTCCTCCTGTCGTCTTGTGTTCGTTTCTTCGCTATGTATTTTGTTTAAGCGACGGTCAACCCGAACGCCGAGACTCCATTGCTTGCACAAATTTGTTTCTGTCTTTTGACATTTAAGAGTAGCGATGCAAGCGGTAATAACTGCCGTCAATTCATTCGTTCAATTCAATTGACTGCTTCAACAAAGAACCGTGAAACATAGCTCTCTCTCTCGCTGAGTGTGTCCGATATCCTTGAGTGGCTCAAAAAGCGCAGCGTCAAATGAATCTGATGCCTGACTTCCCTCTTCCCCCGATCTTATCGAGATCAGCGTTGTGCGCAACTCCTGATCAGATTCAGAGCTGAGAGGGGCTAGGCGGCACAACTTTATTGGCACGGTAGAGCCAAGCTTCCTTTTACGCCGTCCTATATATGTTCCATGAAGGCTGCACTGTAAGCCACGCTTAGCACTGCTGCGCGAATAGTAAGGTGAATTGAACGAGCACTTCGGCGCCTCTTGTTTATAGTTGAAATCACAGAAACGCAACACCAGGCTATACTATGACGATTTTTTTCAATGCCACAATGAAGTTTGTAGCAAATAGGTTCAATGTCAGTTTGATCAGTGAATCGATTGCATTGTCTTGACTTGCAAACGATGCCTATTTTGGTAGAGGACTAATATCCGGTCACATGTTTCTAGTAGGTTAAGCAGGTCCAAAAAGTGTCCGAAGTAAAAAATTAGGACGCAGTTTAGGAATAGAATATTTTGCTCAAGTAACTGGGCTTGTATTGGGCAAAACGACCATCTGATTGTGAGGCATGCCGTGGTAGCGGGAGAAAAAAAAAAACAAGAAAAAAGGAAGGCAGGGAAGTTAACCATATGCTAGGATCAGGTATCTTACTTTGCACTGGAGTTGGGGAATAGGGGGTTAAAAGAGAGAGATATAAAAATAAATAAGAACAAAAACACAGAAATACACGCACACACAAAATAAATCCACTCAGAGTCATTCAAACAGGCCAGTAGTTCGCAGGAAGTCCAGTAGTGTTTGCATGGCCTTCTGATGAGTCTAGATGATGGTCTAATATAGTGTTCTCCAATAGCGGCTGGTCAGCTAATTTGTTGAGCGTATAAGAAAGGCATTGTCTTTGTATTTTATATTCTGGGCAGTCGCACATGACGTGTCGAATCGTCTCCTCATATCTGCAGTGGACGCAAGTGGTGGTATTATCCATCCCCATGTGGTAAGCGCACGCACGGGTAAACGTGACGATCAACCATAGTCTGCACGAAATAGTAGCGTCAAATCGTGCGTAAAAACGAGGCCCATTCTAAGGTGACATCGAGCATTGGCGAGCTAGCATGCTTAGCGGCCTAGCAGCGTCAGTCCTAGAGAA